AATTTCTAGGTAGCCCATGCCTCCTTACTGATGCGGTTAGGATGTTCTGAGAAAAAAAGCCCTGATAGGACAGATTCTGTGTCAGGCAGAGAGACATAGTCTCTATAACCGAGTCTTCAACTTGGCTTCTCTGGAGGACATGTCATCTGGACAGTAGCAAAGGTTTTGTTTCGGTCACGTACTGGCACATTCCCAGGGAAAGTAGATAGAGAATAGAATATCTCAGTATTAATTTTCCTTCCGAGAAATGTTACTATGCGCTTTCTGTGCTGGACGTCTCAAGATGTGATCTGTGCAGTCTGCACAGCTGTTATCATTTTACAAACACAGTGTGGTGTCACTAAGAGACTCCTGACCCTGCAGTAAGTTTTAGATCCTTTAATAAGTCTGAAAGGGACAATAAGTATTTAGAAATAGCCTTTAGAATACACTTTAATCCAACAGGAGCTAGTGATTTGAGAAAAATGTGTTTTATATAATGAAAAAGAAGTTTATTGGCATGTCTACATCTTTTGTGTTAATGATAATTAAGCACAATCATAAGGGTAAAACTCTGAAAATTGAACTTTAAGATGACTAAGGGTTCATCCTTTTTAAATGTCCTATAGTCCGTAGCTTTCATAAGGAAAATTTATGTGACATTAGGTTTTAAAATGGCAACTATCTGCTCAAGTAGCAGTCTGGTCAGGGAACAGCTTTTCTTAATTTTTAACTGAAAATACCCTTTAATAAAGACTTTTTTGGGTCAAGTTACCAGCTGTGGCTTAGCTGTCAATAAAGTGAGTTTTTCAATGTGACCTGATACCAATAGTCACAACAAGAGCTGAGGGAACTTGCTTCTTTGCTTGAAGTGGGTTGGGGGTTGGCTGTGTTTTCATTTTGCCTGGTCCTTCCTTACATTGTTAGGATATTTTATTTAGCATTTTGTGTCTTCCAGGAGAAACATTACAAAATTAAAAACTATAATCCTTGGTTTTTGACACCTTAAATGGTCTACTTTCTTTTTTAGCCAAAAACATCTTTATTTTTCAGTCCATATTTATATATCAAATCTTCTTATTCCTAAATTATCAGAATTAGACTAGAAAACTGGGTGTATTTCTTCAAAGTGTTTCCCTTTGACAGAAACTTCATTTTATAGAATCTAAACATTAACAGTTTGAAAAAAAAAAAAAAAACAGGCTCTAACAAAACTCAAGGAAACCCATTGCTACTTCAGTCCTTCTTCACCAGGAAGCAGCATTGTTACATTGTTTCCATTTAGTAAAATCTGATGTAATTTTGTATCCTTCTTCCTTCTGGTGTAATTTCAAACTGTGACATCTTCTAACAGCATATTGACAACGTCATCCAATCCTAGAAGTTTACCAACAATTTTTTTTATCACTCTTCTTCACAGTGTGAACTCTTAATCATATACACTTGTACATAATAATGAAGGAACTACCACAGGTTCTTGGTCATGTTAGCCGCCATGGCTGTGCAGGAATTATGTTTTACTTTAACACGAGTACAGTGCTTCCTTCAAGGAAGCCATGCTTGGTCTGGGATGTGTATAATCTGGTAAGTGAGCCCAGACCTCTGAATTCTTGTCACCTCCATCTTACAACAAGCCCAAATGTGGCTGTCCAACATGCCAGACTGTGGCAAAACAAGCTAACCTTCCCATGGTGAACAATGTTGGCTCAAACCAACAGAACCCCTTTTAAGGGCAAAGTATACAAAAACACGTAACTCTTAGCAGTGTGATCCTGGAGTTACCTCTGCTGTTTTCCCACTAGGTGGTGCTAGGAACAAATGTTTCTATCAATTCTGGGGCAGACAGAGCCAAAGGTAATAAGAGCTTGGTGAGAGAGGTCCGTGCAAATGACTGGTCTTCCATTGCTCTGAGTAATCTCTAATAAATGTATTTCTGTTCACTAAGATAATCTTAATAAACAATTCTTTGAGATGTGGAAATGTCAGAAATGAGGAGCAGATGTTAAATTTACATCTCTCCAGAAATATCACACAGCACTTGGTCAACAAATATTTGAGCATACATAAGTGAGGCTACACACTATGCAGATATAGACTAAGCATGAAAAAGGCATATATTCAAGTGTCACTTCAAATATATTATCAGATAATTTGAATTTAATTTTACTTATTATTTCTTTCTTAATGTAAGCCTAAACAATGAAAGAAAAGTTAGAAATGACTCTAAAAAGAATATGTAGCAAGTGTGTGATTTTCAGACTTCTAGGACCATGACTTATCAAAGCATACTAAGATTTATAAATCTAACCATATTTTTTTGTGGTAAGTTAATCATTGTCTTTATTAGGGTTTCTATTGCTGTGAAGAGACACCATGACCACGGCAACACTTACAAAGGAAAACATTTAAATGCCATGGCTTACAGTTCAGAATTTCAGTCCATTACCATTATGGTGGAACATGGTGGTGTGAAGGCAGACATGGTGCTGGGAATACTACATTTTTGAACTGCAGACAATGGAAACTGAACTGAACTAGGCATACTTTGAGCATAGGAGACCTCAAAGCCTGACCCCACAGTGACATATTTCCTCCAACAAGGCCATACCTCCTAATAGGACCACTCCCTCTGGGGGTCATTTTCTTTCAAGCCACCACTCCCTGGCCCCCCAAAGATTTGTAGCCATATTAAATACAAATGCATTCAGTCCAACTTTTAAAAGTCCCCATAGTCTACAACAGTCTCAAACTTATTTAAAAGTCCAAAGTTTAAAGTTTCTTCTGAGATTCATGCAATCTTTTAACTGTAATGCCCTGTAAAATCAAAATCAAATAGCAGATCACCTTCTTCTAACATATAATGGTCCAGGATATACAATACCATTCTGAAATGGAGAATAATGAGGAAATACTGAAACAAAGCAAGACCAAAA